CCCAGACAAATCCATTAGCCCCAGGCTAAGGGGGACGGGGGATGAGGACGCGCGCCCAGGCCCCGGGAGAAGGGCCGTGGGGGAGATGCTGTGAAGGGGACGTCGGGCGCATGGACTCTTTCCAGACGGGTGGGGCCCAGTGAGGGAGGATACCGCCCAGATGGGAGCCTCCGGGACCCCTGATCTTGCCGTTATCCCTCCCGCCTTTTCTCCGGGTTAACCCCTTCCCGGCCCCGCCCCCGGCGCGGCTCGGGTTACTAAACGCATTCGCAGAGACCGAGGCGGGAGCGGAGCCCGGGGCCTTTGTAACGGAGCGCTGGGCCGCAGGGCGGGGGGTGGGGGTGCTGGGCAGACTGCTTTCTTCGATCTCGTCACCCGTCGACAGGAAGGGGGGCTATAACCCCCAAATCTATAGGAAATTTTGGATCTCTTGCCGCGAAATCACTGGTCCCTCATTCAAGCCCGGGATCCTCTAATTCTAGGAAACTAGAGCATCCCCAACCTTCGTGAAATCTGAGGAACCCCCTCCGCACAAACCCCCCTGCAAGCCCCTCCGCCATCAAGCCCGAAGTCCACGTCTTCCTAAGTCATTAAGAAAATCCAAGGGTCCCTTTTAATTCATCCAGGCGTTCCCAAACCCGAGAAAACCAGGACATCTCAACCCCACCATAGAATCCCTTCATAACCTCCGATACTTCTCTTCCTTAAGCACCCAAGAAGCTTGGGGAACCTCATCCCAGCTGGAGCGCCCCACCCATCTATCATCGTAGGAAAACTCAAAGCCCCATCCCCATATAAGCTGGGACCCTTCTCCGAAAAAAACCCTAGAATTCCCTGGGGCCATACTGTCCATCTACCACACCAGCGGCGAATCCCTCGCCTCCAAATTTCAGTACTCCCCGCTTCTAAGCCCTGCAAAATAGAGGGTCCTAATAAATCCAAGGGTCTGGCTCTTTCATCCCTACCCCGAAGTACTGGGTTCGTTAGTCCCCTAAATCCGCAAGTTCTGGTGCTTCCGGACCCACCAGACTTATTGGGTGGAGGGGGCACAAGGAAGAAGGGGTCGCAGTGGGGCTTACCCGGCCGGGCGGCCCGGGGTCCCCGCAACCTCGACGGCCTCGCTGGGGCTGGGGCTGGGGCTGGCGGCGGAGGCGGCGGCTGCGAAGAGCGGCAGCAGCAGCACCAGCAGAAGGGGGCGGCGGCCGCTGGGGCCAGGCCGCCGCATCGTGTCCGGCGTGGAGTCCCGCTCCAGGCGGGCCGTCTGTCCAGCGGGTCCGGCTCGGCGCGGCCCCGCCCCCCGCCCCCGCCCGAGGCCGACTCATTTTCTCCACAGTCCTAGCCGCGGCTGCTAACTTCCCGCCAATCAGAGCCCGATGCCGCCAGGGGGCGCTACCCTCTTGGCCAATCGGAAGGCGGCGGGGGAGGGGCTAGAGGGACAGGTGCCGGGCGGGGGGCGCTGGGGCCTGAGGTTCTCAGGGCTGGAGGGGAAATCGGGAGTCCGGTACCGACTCGGGAAGGAGAAGCTGAAGAGTGGAGACGCTGGGACCCCTCCCACGGCTGGGAGGGATGCGTAGGCAGTGGTCAGGGTCCCCTAAACTAGACCGTCACGCACAGGCCTCATCACCTCGTTCACAGTTGTGGTAGAAATTTGATCAGAATTTGCTCCCTGACTGGTGTAAACGCTGGAAGCCCCCAGAATTGTCCACTTCTCATGCGAGAGACTCAGGATTCGGGTGGGGCGGAGGGGGGGGAGTGCTAATCCTACAGTAGGCCCCAGGTTTGGCCCCTCTGAGGCCCCAGGCCCACTCTGTACCTTCCCAAAGGATTTCCTCCTCTCAAGGCCTTGTGCCTCACGGGTTCCAGGTCCAACAAGCAAAAGCTTGTTCCTCAGAAGGCTGTAGCCTCTGGCCCTCAGAGGACACAGGCTCGGCCCCTGACCCACAGACGTTGCTCCGAGAGAGCTGTTCTCCTTACACCCCTCTCCACCGCTGCCCCTAGAGGTTACCAGACCCCCCTTCCCTAACCTGAATATTTAAAGATTCCCAACAGCACCCCTCCCAACTGACAGAGTTGCAGACTCTCTTTAAAGAATTCTAGTCCCCTCCCTTCCTTGAGTCCTCCACCGTCGGTTCGGGAGCCCCAAGCCACAGGGGGCCTTAGGCCCCACCTGCACTCTCTTTAGGGAGTTCCAGGCTCCAAGCCTTGCTTACAGCCTCCCAATGCAGTAGGTCTCAAGCTCAGCTCCTGCCCTTCATTATAAATTCAAGGCCCCACCCTTTTCCTCGCCATTACACATCCCACTTCTCTTCTCCTAAGGTCACCGCCCCCTGAGCTTCAGATCTGGCTCCCCACTTGGCCTCTTCTCCTCTGAGTTTCAGGTCACTGCCCTTCCCACAGTGAATTCGGGCGCAGCCCCATACTTAGCATCCCAAGCCCCACCCCTTTCATGTTTGCCCCGCCCCCCGGGTTCCAGGCCCCATCCCTCCACGCAGTTTGAGTCTTAAGATTTCCAGTTCTGAATCCTTAGCTCCGCCCCCAGTCCATCACAGGCTCCACCCCCACAGGATACTAGGCCGCGGGCCCTGACCATAAGGGCCCACCCTAGGCTAAGAATATCAACCCATCCAGCTGACTCGTCCTCACCCCCACTCCTGCTCCTTCTTCCAGCGAGGGTGTGGAGGATGGACGGGAGACCCCGTCACCTTCCCCCCCGCGCCCCGTTACAGCGAGGCACCCTGGTAACTCACACAGCCACACGCACACTGTTACTACCACCTACAACAATCCACGCCTCCATCCCACACTGACACCCAGAATCTGGGCCCACTCGCCATCCAGGGACACGCAGCCCCTTAGAGCAGTAACGATGACACTCAGGCCCCACTCGTGGGCATTCGTGGGCAGTCCTAGCATGATGATGGAATCCCTGACTGCCCACTGAATGTGCTCTGGGTCCCTGTTTTTGTGAAGCCCCCGCAATCTGGTTAAGATGGCCCTGCAGGACAGCGTGTCCTGACAACCCCCACCCCCACTCCCGTTGCCCTCCTCCTCACCTCCTACCCTGTGGCTGGAGCATTTGCTGGGGGCGCTGCCGAAATTTCTCCCTTCTGCCTGGGATCCGGGGCATCTTCAATGCTCGTTGCTAGGCAACAGCCTCTGGCTCACCACTACAACTTCCGGGGATGGTGTTGCCTTCCCATCCCCATCCCCCCCCGACTTTGGAGTCCCCCGCTCCCAATCCCCCGTCAGTGCCAGTATCTCCCAGGGTCGTTTCTATGTCATCCCTTGGACCCTGATCTGCTCTCAACCCTTCAGAATCCCTCAGAGTGCTAGAGCCGTGGCATTCTGGAAGCTTCCCCCCATCATGTGCTTACACGCAGGGTTTTATCCCATTTATTAACAGACAAATCTCTTTAGTATTTCAGATTTTCTGATTCTCTCTCAGTTCTAGAGTCACCAGCATTCCAGAAACACAAGTGTTCTGGATTCCCTGGCAAGGAAAAACTATCTCAACATTCTAGATCTGGGAGCATTATAAAACATCCCACATTCTAGATTTCCGGCCATCCCAACCCCCTCCTATGTTCTAGACTTCCTAACATTCAAACACCCCCCAGGGTTCTGAATGTCCTGGCATGTAAAAACATTTCCAGAGTTTGAGATTCACAGGTATTCCAGAACACTCATGTTTTAGAATCACTCATCTCCCAATCATATTCTAGATTCTCTGACAATCCAGAACCCCCTGCCATTATGGGTTTCTTGGAATGCAAACAAACCCTCTAGTGATCTAGAAGAGCTGACATTCCAGAATGCCCCTATGCTCTAGATTTTCTAGTACTCCAGATTTGCTTTCTGTGTCCTATAATTAGCATTCCAGAAACTCTGGCATACAAAATATTCCTACGAATATAGATTCATATGTATTCTAGAACACTCCCCTGTTCTAGAATCATTGACTTCCAGGTCCTTTTGTCACAAAACCTCTAGTCTGCATTCTCTGAAATGCAGGGGAGAACCCTAATACTGTTTATCCACTAGCATTCTAGAATATTCCTGCATTCTAGATTCCCTTACATTTTGGACCCCTCTCCACTATGTTACAGAAACTCTGGCATTCCAGAAACTCTGGGATTCTCAAATTAGCATATTCTAAAATCCCTTGTCCCGAGTCTGGCCCCCTCTCCTCTTCATGGACCCAAGGAAAAGAGGCAGAAAACTCCTGAGAAGTTGCCATAGGAATAGGTATTATTTGGGGAAAAACCTCAAGGATATTAAGCTGGAGTGAGCAGAACCTGTCCCACATAACCTCTCTGGTAGGGGCAGGAAAGGGATGAGACTGGGCAGCCAGGGATGTGGGCAAGGTGTTGGCCGTGGCGAAGTTTAGGGTACAAACACTAAGGATGTGGCAATCATATAGCCAACATCTGTGTTTCTGTTGACCTGCAGCCATTCATCCCTGCTTGTGGCAACAGTACCCTAATTCACCTTTCAGGGACTCCTCCTCTGGTTGGAGGGGAGGAGTGGGCTGATCTCACCTCCTGGCTTGTGAGGGCACAGGACCCTTGGAACAATGGAAGGCCTCCATCACATGGGCCACAGTGATTTGTTCAGGGGTGGCCATCTGACTACATTCGAGCCAGTAAGAATCAGTCATATGATTTTTTTTTTTCTTTTTGCTGCTGCTGCTAGGAGAGAAAAAAAAGTTGCTAAGGAGGTACCTGGAGTCATCTTGGCACCCAGAGGGGAAAACCTGACTGAGAATGATGCATCCCAGAGGCGAGCAAAGCCAAAAGATGGAAAGACATTCTGGATGAGTTTTTGAATCCCTGGATCCAGCTATGCCTGAAGCCAGGAGTAAACCATTACGTTCTCTTTCTTTACTTAAAGCGAGAGAGAGCCAGATGTTCCTGAATCTATAGCCAGACATATGGCCAGTCCCCACATCTCTCCGTCCCTTTCCCTGGGGGTCCCCAAACCCTCTAGGAATGTCAGCAAGGTGTTGGCAGTGAGAACTTTATTAGGGGAGGGTGACTTTGGCTCCAGAAAAGGGGGGACAGTGGGGGCCTAGTAACAGTGACCACTCCAAGGAGGCCCTGGCCCTGAACCCAGGGCCCTGACAGGAAGCAGGGAGGCACCAGAGCGCCCCCCGCCAACCCCCCCCAGGACCTGGGTATCCAAAGGCACCATGGCAGCTGTGTTCAGAAGGAAGTTTCATTGAGCTTCACCTTGGGGGGCGCAAGGGGAGCTCCCAGACCCGCGGGGGGCCGAGGGGCTGGTGTCGGTGGCCGTCGGGGCTCTGGCCCACCCCGGACCAGTTCTTGGCAGCGTTCCACGAAGCTGCCTCCCCCACGACGCCGGGCCTCAGCCTGTGGGGGGCTCGGGCTCCCGCGCCAGCCAGACAGGGAGGTGTTGCTGGAGGCTAAGTGAAGACTGCAGTGGTGGGGGTGATGAGGGTCAGTGCATGTCATCCGGGTCATCCGGGGCAGATGAGCAGCAGCACCCCCCCACACCCACTGCACAAAGGGGAAGTGGGGTCAGGCCTACCTGGTGAGAGAGGTGCGGGGGGAGGGGCTGGGGAGAGAGCTCCTGGAGGAAGACAGCGGCGCCCGCTCACACTGCTCCAGCTGCTCCATCAGCTCTTCCTCCGTCAGGCCACCGGCTGCGGGGCAAGGAAACGGGTTGGGGTGGGGGGCAAGACAAGGATCACTGGGCAAGGGACACGCGTTGTGTGCAAGGACTGAGGTCAGGATAGGAGGAAAAATGCAGAGGTCCAGGGACAGGGGTCAGATGCTAAGAGAGAGGGGTGGACAAGCAGGGGCAAGGTAGAGTTCAAAGGCAGAGGAAAGGGGTCAGAGGCCAAGGGCTTGGGGAGGGAGACTGAGGAAGGGGGTTGAGGAGAGGGCCCTGGGGGCGGGGCAGGGAGTACCAGGGGCCTGGCCGAGGCCGTCCATGGCGGTGGTCAGGTCCCACATGGCCAGGCTGCCATTGGCCTGGCCGGTGAGCAGGTAGCGCCGGGGCCGAGAGCCCAGCCGCCGGGAGCCCTCACACTCGAGCACCGTGAAGGCGGTGGTGGGGGAGCCGTCCACCGAGCGCACGGAGCACACCCTGAGACAGAAGGGGAGGGGGTCACCCTGGCCCTAGCGCGTCTTCTCATCCTTACACCCTTCCTGGGCCTCAGATCCCACTGTTATGGCTTCCGTTCCTGCCTTTGCAACCACCACCCCAAGCCCGCTTATCCTTCCCCAGTGCACTCTCTCTGGGTGTGGCTGCCTCCTGGATGGCTCCCGCCCGACAGCCCTGACATGTCCCCAGTGGGATTCTCCCCCAAATCTGCAGCTCTCCCCTGGTCCCGTCGCAAGGAAGGCCTGAGTCATCCTGGGCACCTCCCTCACCTCCTATCGTTCCCCACGGCCAGTCCCCTCGGCCTCCAGTGTCTCTCCCAGGGCCCCCTCCTCCCCTCCTGTCTGGCCCTGGTCAAGCGCTGCCTGCTCCCGCCAGGCACCTGTCCCAGCCTCCTCCCTGGGCTCTGGGGCTCCTATCCAACCTCCAGCCCAGCCCCCACAGTGCTCCCCACTGTGCTGCCCCATGGCTCCCCAGCCCGCTCAGGGCAATCTCGGCTTTTCCACATGATTGACGGGCCCCCTGCAGCCTGGTCACTGCTCCAGCTCCCGGACAACGCGCATCCCATTGGATGTCCTATTTGGTCACTTCCAGCCCTGGGAACCCCAGGGCTCCCTCCTCAAAAAAACCATCACAGGTGCCCTCCCCAGGCTGGGGCGAGCACCTCCTCCGGGCTCCTACAGCGGCCCGCGCCCCACGCCCTGGCCCGGACACCTGCGCCCGTGCCTCCTGCCCCCACCCCGGGGCCCTGACCACCTGGGCCACCTGCCTGAGGTCCAGCAGGGGCGCCTGGGGTTTCTCCAGCTTCACCGCCACCCGTATGTGTCACACCTTTGATTCCTCCAGCCCCCAAACCTAGGACCAGGCCTTGTGCTCCCTTTTAGCCTTTGTTCCTTCAAGTGTCCCCCCTTTTGGCCTCCGTGACCCAGTTGGGATCTTGCCTTCTCCTCCAACCCCCCCCCCATATGATGGGACGGTCCTCACCGCTGACCAGTAGATGAAAGGCGCACAAAGAGCTGGCTGGCGCTTGGCACCACCTTCTGAATGAACACTTGCTGGTCATCCCGCTCGCCGTAGGGGCCTGGGCCGGGATGGGGGGGAAGGGGGGGAGTTAGGGCCAGCTGGGGTCCCTGGGACTCCAGACCCCAAGGCTCTGCCTCCTTCCCCACCGATGAATCCCTCCCAGGACCCCAGGTCTGCATTCCCAGGTTTCTGGAATTGGGCGAGCTCAGAAAGGGCTGGGGGTCAGCAACAGTCAGTGGAGTTCAGGGATGCGGGGTGGGAGTCCTGGGTGAGGTGGCAGTCACAGGACTCGATGGGGTAACAGAATTCAATGGGGGGTGGCGGGGGGTGAATGGAGGTCAACCAGGCCCGCTGGGCAGGTCAGGTAAGGGGCCAATGGAGGCCAGTGGGGCTCAGGCAGGGCACATGGGGCTAGTAGGCACCAATGTCATTGCCGGCGCTGCAGCCGCCATGGCCGTCGGCCGACTCCAGCGCCAGGATCTTGAAGGAAGCGAGCGGGGTGGAGCCGGGCTGGGTGGAAATCATGCCCCGGAAGCGAGTCACGGACCACGTGCGCACGTGGTTGCTGTCGGCACAGACTGAGGAGCAAGGCGGGGCGGGCAGCAGGTCAGGCCTGCATCCCCGCCGCCCCACCCTCCCGAGCCGCACGATGACCCCCACAAAGGTGTGAGGATTCGGGCCCCTCTGAATTCTTCCCTTTCAGAGAGTTCGCTCTGCCCCAGAACTCCAAATGGTTAAAAGTCCTCTTGGCCCTGCCTCCAAAATCATTCCAGAGCCTGATCTCACCTAACCCTGTCACTGTCCCCCCCAGCCCCCCGGTCCTGTCCATCATCACCTCCTCCCTGGACTCCCCGCTCCTGTCCTGCCCCCAGAGCCTGGCCCCACACGCAGCCAGGGGGACCCTGGGAACACCTGTGCCAGGTCATGGCCCTCCTCCGCTCACTGCATTCCTTCCCGAGACTCCATCCCAATCAGGGTCAAGGACAGGGTCTTCTGCATGGCTCACAAAGCCCCACCCTTTCCTTCGCCCACACTGCTCCAGGCACAGGGGCTCCCTGCTCCTCCTCAGATCCATCCTTCATCCTCCCAGCTCAGAGCCTTTGCAATGCCTGGTCCCTCTGCTGGAATGCCTGTCCCCACGGCGGCGGGGGCGGGGGGGTGCATTCCTTTGTTTCTGCTCAAAGATTCTTCCCCAGTGACCCCACCGAGCTCTAGCCACTCACACAGCTCTGCTCTGATTCCTGGTCTTCATCATTGCCTGTCGGTCATTTCTACTCTGACGTGTTTATCATCTGCCATCCCCAGCAGAACATCAGCTCCGCAGGGGTAGGGACTTGGCCTGTCTTATCCATCACTGTATCCTCTGTGCCTGGCACACAGCAGGTGCTCAAGGCCATGTTTGGGGAACTGATGAATTACTCACTCTCGCCTGGATGAGTCCCCTTACAGGACCCATCTCACACTTCCGCAATTATTGCCCCAGGTTAAAATTCTCTCCCCCACCCGCCGGTTTCACACTCTGACCTGGGCCAGTGTCCTGCAGGGAGACGCGCAGCGGGGGCAGCCCGGCGAGGCCCACCTGAGATGAGGTGTTTCTCCGAGAGCATGATCTTGGTGACAGGGCTGCGGTGCACGGTGAAGGTCTGGAAAAGCTGGGGCCCTGAGCCCACGGTCTCAGGGTGCTGGACGATGACCCGCACACCCCCAGAGCTGGTGCCATAGGCGATCTCAATCCAGTTCCCACTGTCACCTGGGGAGGGGTGGAGGATGAAGAGAGGGACAGATCAGAGACAGAGAGAGCAAGAAGCAGAGACAGAAAACAAGAGAGAGACAGAAACAGACAGATCTCATTAAGACAGGGGACAGGGGCGCCTGGGTGGCTCAG